AGCAATGAAAAAAATATCTTCTGGTGAGGATTAATAACAAAACAAGAAAATAATAGGCAGAGGATCTGAATAGACATTTTTCAAAAAAAGACATACAAATGGTCAACAGGTATATGAAAAGATCCTCAAAATCACTAATGATAAGGGAAATGCAAATCAAAACCCTAATGAGATATCACCTCACACTTTTTAGAATGACTATTACCGAAAAGAGACAAGTGTTGGTAAGGATGTGGAAAAAAAGGAAACCCTTTTGTACTGTTGATAGGACTGCAAATTGGTTCAGCCACTATGGACAACAGTATGGAGGTTCCTCAAAACATTGAAAATGCAACTACCTGATGATCCAGCAATCCCCTCTGGGTCTATATCTGAAGGAAACAAAATCACTATATTGAAAAGATAACTGCACCCCTACATTCACTGCAATATTATTTACAATAGCCAAGACATGGAAACAGCCTGATTATCCATTGATAGACGATTGGATAAAGAAAATGTGATATATCTATGTCTATAAGTACATAGATATACACACACACTATGGAGTATTCAGACATAAAAAAGGAAACCCTGCCATTTGTGACAACATGGATGGACCTTGAAGTCATTATACTATGAAATAAGTCAGAGAAAGACAAATGCCATTTGATCTCACTTATATGAGGAATCTAAAGAAGCTGAGCTCATAGATACAGTGAAAAGATTAGTGGTTGCCGGGGGGGGGGGGGGGTTAAGGTGGGGAAAATTGGTGAAGATGGTCAGAAGGTACAAACTTCAGTTATAAGATAAGTCCTGGGGATGTAATGCACAGCATAGTGACTATAGTTAACAATGCTATATTGTATATTTGATAGTTGCTAAGGGAATAAATCTTAAATTTTCTCATCAGAAGAAAAACAGGTTTTCTAACTATGTGAGGCAATTAACTAGACTTATTGTGGTGATCATTTTATAGTGTGTACCTATATGAAATCATTATGTTGTTCACGTTGAACTAATACAAGTTTATATATCAGTTATATCTTGTGCCATGCCAGCATGGCCAAGGGTAAACCTGAGGGAGGGTGTGAAGGATTTAGAAAAAAACAGACAAAGAGAATATAGCTGGGGCTGGGTGGATCTTCCATTCCTGGATGAGGATAGAGAAAGATCCCTCCTGTAAGCTGAGGCTTTATTTTATAGTCAGAGACAAAAAAGGTTGTGGTCAACATAGTTACAATGTTCTTGTGAGTTTCACTTGTTTTGGCAGCACTTGCTGCACCTCCCACAGCCCATCAGCTACCCAGGGAAGATCTAGGGAAGGTCATAAGGTCAAGCTTAATTATGCTAAGAGGGCTGTGCCCTCCAAGCTGGGACTTGTTTGTGGCTCTGCCACAGGTCAATACGAGGCTTAACCCTATAGCCCAGTGGTTCTCAACCTTCCTAATGCCACGACCCTTTATTACAGTTCCTCATGTTGTGGTGAACCCTAACGATAAAATTATTTTCATTGCTACTTCATAACTGTAATTTTGCTACTGTTATGAATTGTAATGTAAATAACTGATATGCAGAATGTATTTTCATTGTTACAAATTGAACATAATTAAAGCATAGTGATTAATGACAAAAACAATATGTAATTATATATGTGTTTTCTGATGGTCTTAGGCGACCCCTGTGGAAGGGTCGTTCGACCCCCAAAGGGGTCGCGACCCACAGGTTGAGAACCACTGCTATAGCCGCTCCCTACAATATCTCAATAAAACTCGGGGAAAATAAAAAGTAAAAATAAAGAAAAATGGAAAAAAAGATGTTCTCTGCCCCTTTTTAGCCAGTTTTTAGCTAGTGACCTCTGGTTTACCCACCCTATAATATCCTGTTTTTATTATTGTAAGAGTTCTTTTATTTCTTTTCTTTTTTTTTCTTTTTTTTTATTTTAGTAAATCTTTATTGTTCAGATTATTACATTTGTTCCTCTTTTTTTCCCCCCATAGCTCCCCTCCACCCAGTTCCCACCCCACCCTCTGCCCTTACCCACTCCCCCCTGTCCTC